GCCTTGCTTATAGTATCGCAATATATCGGGATATATCGTATCGTGACCCCTCTGTCATGATATGTATCGTATCGCCAAATTCTTGCCAAAACACAGCCCTACTCTACACAGCAAAAGAGTAAATAATCAACAAGTCGAGTGTCAAACTAACACTCATAGGAGGTGTATGAACCTCCAGTGTTAACCATTTATAACTCAATGCAGTGTTGAAAARCGTGAGAATCAGAGTTGATTTGTCACCACAGTGGAGTACCTTATTAACTCTGCTTAACATCATAATTACTGTCATCTGARTTATTTGACTTGAAGTGTTAAGTTTTATTAACACTGTACAGTGTTAATAAGTRTTAATTTTTAACTCTGTTTAGAGTTAAATTGTACTCTGAAAATTTAACACTATGGAAAGAGTTAAATTGACAYYAATTCAGATAAGGAMCAAATAGACTCRGACACAGTGTTAAATTTAACTCTTTAAGTGCTGATTTAACACTGCAAAATTWAATATACGTGAATACACAAATTTGACAAAAGTCCGATGATATATCAAGTCACCTATATTTTATTCCACGGYTTCAGTGMRGTTCGCAGGTCACAGTATTTCTATCCTCCTTTCCCGCAGTACGGTGTGGATGTGAAAAGTCGGGATGCTCGCGGCCAGACGCCCCTGTCCTACGCCCGACGAGCCGGAAGCCAAGAGTGCGTCGACATTTTACTCCAACACGGCTGCCCCAATGACTCCAGCAGCCTGACCTCGGCGCCCGCKTCCAGCATCAGCCTCCGCAACCCCAACATCAACAACAACAACGCCCAGTGCGAGCTCAACCGCAGCATCAGCATCATGTAGAAGCCAGATCGCAACTGCAGACAAAAACACACAAACACAAAAAAAGAAAAACAGCCCACCTGTGTCTCTTCTTCCTCCTTCCTGTTTCACACTGTGTAACCCAGAATCTGTACAAACAGACGTATCAGGAGAGATCGACTTACTGTTCATATTTCACTGCGCTGCAAGTTTGGATTTGAAGATTGTGCATTTTGTTTTTTTTTAATATATTGGTAATTTTGTTTCTTAAATTTATTCAGTTTTGGTCTGAGACGATGATGATTAGCTTTAAGCTTTTGTGTTTTTTGTTTTTCTTGATATGCATCAACCAAACAAATGTTGACTTCCTTCTGGCATTCATATCTCCCCTTAAAAAAAAGCATTTCCCTAATGTTTGAACATTTCCTATTATGTCTTCCCTTCATTGTGATATGAATTCAGCTTACATTGAGTAGGAAAAAAATCCTCTTTCTTGCCTAAGCAAAATAAGAGAACTGTAAAGTGTAGTTGAACTGAGACAAACTAAATCTCTGTGGCTGCTACAGTTTCCATAATGATGCATGTCTCCAACACAGCTATCAAAACTCTTGACGTGTTATTCATATACAAAGGCAWAGCAATTATAGTTAAAGAGACCAAATGATTTAGACACTTAATTCGCAGCCAAATGGATTCCGATTGTCATAAAGGAGCTGATTGCAGAGTTCCCATTGGCTAAAAGCAAGTCGTTTTCTTTGCCACAATCCTTCAGTAAAAGTGTCCGTGACCATGAAGGAATTAACACGATGAATGTTTTACAACCATTAAGCCACGTGGCTTTGTAAGCGCGTGCCTCTTCAATCAGAATTCATTCAGATTCAAAGGTTTGATTGGAGCTACGAAATTCTACCATTATGATCTCTTTGTTGGAATAATTTTAGGATTGAAAGGATTGTGTTGGTAATTGTTTCACAGATTCTCTAAAGTTCAGACCGAAAGATCCTCCTGTGGCAGAAAGATGTAAAACTGGTACTCTACAGATCATATCCAATATCGTTGCTGTGAAATCCATATGTGGTACTGTCCGTCTCTGTGAGTCTGTGAGTGTGTGTGTGTTTGGACATAGTGTGCTCCATCTACGTCTATAAATGTACGCAGCAGCGAGCGCCGGGGCATTTCTGTTTATAAAGGACTCTAGAGAGCAAGACGCCTACAGTGAAGATTCAGGAACATAACTGTGTTTTATTGTACAGATTTCTGTAAAGAAAAAAAAAGTTAGTTCATGTTCCTTTGCCTTACTCCTTACAAGAACTGTCCGACCCTTCTTAGATTTTTAGTCAATATAAAATAGCTGTGTTCTTCTCCTTAAGGCTTTCCCGTCCTGAGAAAGGTGTCCGTCTGAGAGCAGGGAGCGAAGAAAAACACATTTATGTGACTGAAGAACGGGCTGTAAAAAGGGATGTCAATCACAAAATATTTATAGAAGGAAGTATAATAAGTTTTTTATTTATATAAATGTACAGTATTCCACAGACATGGTAAGCCACTTCCTTCTTTTTGATTAATAATTTGAATACAAAATAAAAAACTTCAGGTAGAGTTTTCAACTATTTGTAAGGTTTTGAAACATGTTGATTTTGTTGGTTTACAAAGGCAGATTGTGTTTTTTGTTGTTTACAGTCCAAGTAATTACATGGTACCTAATCTGTAATATTTTTGTTGTTGCTTTAACAGTTTATTATTATTATTATTATTATTATTGGTTTTCAACAAAAAAAAAATGTGGTTACAAGACGAAGCAGTGATACTGTGAAGGAGTAATTTAACTTTTTTTAAGGAGTAAAAGGCTGTGCCAGTTCCTAATAAGGACTCCTTTACAATGATTTATTAATGCACACTTTATGTTATTAAACAATGTTCATACAATGAAGCAAGCTCACTATTTCTCATAATTGACATTTGAAATATCCATATGTTCCACGTAAGTGCTACGATACAAAGTTTGTTTTGGCAAAATAAAATAATTTAAAGTGAGCTGAGCAATAATCATTTGTTCATTCAGCAAATAAAATTTGATTGAATGAATAAATTAATATAAATGCCGCACTTGAGCTTGCCAAATAGAGAGCCTGTTTCGGAATGTGAACAGTGTTTTATAAATAACTTGTTAATGCTTTATAAGGTAGTAACCAACTCATATTTATAAAGCATTCATAATTTATTTTTAAAGGAGCCCTTGTGACGTGGTACCAAAAATACTTCTGAATTTTACACTACCATGCATTTGCAGCCCATCCTCCTCTCTCTGAGAAACACAGGCAAACATTTTATACACAACACTCTTGGTAAACAAGTAAACAAACAAGGATTTGGCTGCTGAAAGCAGAAAGCTAAAGTAGCTTCCTGCTTCTGTAAGAAGTGTACCGAAACAAATGTCCAACCACAACAGCAGGAAAATGAAGTTTGCGGAAAGAAAAAAAGACATTTTAGTGCTTTTATTTTGAAAAGTGGTTCATTATGATTAACATCTTCCATTTTTTTAGGTGACTTCACAAGTATTTGTTGCCAAAGATTGAACTTTTCCTGCAGGATTTTCAGCCTTTAAATCAAGTGTTTTCTCTTGTATGCTTGATTTTTCTATTATTATTATTTTGAAACCGAGACATTTGATTGGCTCTCATGTCACCTTTTACATCCTGACATGGAGCTGAGAGGAGGAACAGAGATAATGTAGATTTATAAACCACTTGAAAAAAAAAAAGCTTAAAGTTTATTGTTAAATTCTGGCACTGTTCCACCTTTCACATAAGCTAAGATGACTGATTAGCTCTCGCAGCTGTGTTTGTGAACAGAGGTGTAGCCGAATTGTGGTTTGGGTACTTTGTAAAAGTTTAACAAAACTTGGATGTGTAAATCATGAAATTCTCCAATTTTTTTGAAGCCTCAAAGAAACAGCCATAAATGTAACCTGATACCTTTTTTTTAAAATCTACTCGTACTGTACTGTGATATCAGCCTTATTTCTGATCTTTACTTGACCAACATATTCCACTGCGCACATTTCATTGTCCAGTGGGATGAGCTCAAATGTGTACAGCGACTACCGGAATCCTTATTTACATACTGTAGATGATAGGAATAAAATAATACAAAAAGAAAAAAAAACATTAGAAACTTGCCTGTTTGAACCCACATACAATATGAAGTGTAAATAGTGCTTTTATCTAAAGGTGAGAACTTCCTGGAGAAACAAACTGAACTGGTTTTGGTCATCTTGATCCATAAAACCACTTTGATATGTCGTTTTTTTTTAAACATATTTTAAGTCCTTTCTGTTGACATTAACCATCTTTTGGTACTTGTGTATAATGATGTACATTTGACATATTTATAATGCAGTATGTAAATATCTTTTTGTGTGTGTTTGTTTTCAGGTTTTTTTTTTTTTTCCAGTTGTATTTCATTTTATGTTTGGAGCGTGAAACAAGGCAAAGACTAAAGAGTAACATGTTGTATGCTTGGATGCTTGGCTGACTGTTGACCTATTAATAAATACTCAAATAAAACAATGTAGCCATCCCTGGATTTGGGGGAAATTGACCCATTTGTCACATATGTGTTGTTCGTTCATCCTCTTATCAACTTCCCTTTTACCTCTGGAGGCCTTGGAGGACAAGGTGAGAATTCATCTTCACTCAGCGCAGTCATTTCATCATTTTATTAACTCTTTTTTTTTCCCCTTCCTTATTTAATGTGTCCCTTCATTACATCTGTTGTTTTGACTCAACCAGGCCTGTCCAGGGCTAATTAATGCAGCCTCCTCACTTCCTGCCCCCCAGACCCCCCCTCAACAGTCGCTGAAAAAGAGGATTAAGATAAAGAGCCGAGCTTAGTGTCAGGCAGCACAACTCTGAAAGAGGGGTGGAGGGGATCCTGAAAGATCTCAGTGTTCAGAGGAGTCGAGCTCTCACTAATCCACTTCTTATTTCCTGCTAATCTAGTCTCGGCATATACCTTCATCCTCTTCCTTTTTTTTTGTTGCCCAGCTTTGTTTGCACTATATCACCTGGTCCTATTAGTTTGGCCTCTTCCTTCCTCAGCGCAGGCTTGACAGAGGAGTCGCAATTAAAGGTGGAGAAAAAAAATAAACGCTCTCAACCAGAAAGGGRTTTGTTTAGTCTTTCTCTCTTTTCCATTTTAGTTGTTTTTTTTACAGAAACTTGGACAAAATAATGTCACAAGTACCTTCATAACCCTACAATTTTAGCCACGACTGCCTCAGAATGTGATTGTAATTGGTTTAAAATCTTATTGCRTCCAGAGCACATTAATCTGCAGTTGTCTTTATATCCTCCTGACTAATTTTAGTCTGTTGAGGCTTCTTGGTTAATAAATGCTTTATTATAGCCACAAGCTTATTGCTGACTATTAACTTGATTGATTTATTTTTATACAGAGAATTAGGAGAAATCAGAGTTTATAGCAGGACAACTTCCACCATCTAAATCAAGTCAAAATTTCAACAACGCGAGCCAGTTCTTTACATTGTGCTGAACGGCACATTTTAATGCAATGTGTTTGTGTTCAAAGCCCAAGTAACCATCTGATGCAAATTTGGTGTAAAAATCCACAACTTTGTTTGTTTAGCTATAAAATGTTTGCGTTGTTTCAGGCCTCGGGTCTTTTTCCAAAAAAAGATCATTTCATTTTGTCGTTTCTAAAAAGTTGCCTTGTAAACGTGGAATTGTTTCTGCAAAATGTTCACCCACACAGAAACACTAAAAAACAATTCAAAACTCGATAATAGCTGCGCCAGGACTGTGTGTGGCATTGTAACGGCGCCACAAAAATACACYGAACAAGAAACTGGACATTCAACATGTGCACAAAGCTTCCACTCTGGGCATAAAATTTAAATGCAATGAGAAAAAAAAGTGCACCCTAGATTAGAGGCGGGGTTATGACATCAGCATTTACAAAAAGTTATGTTCTGACTGTCTACACAAAAACCCAAGGAGGAGAGTTTCACTATTATTTTTCCACTCCATTTTTTAAACATTCTGTTTTTGGGATTGATAAAATTCCATTTTCGTGTGGATGCAAAGCTGAAATGATGACAACACTTCGCATTTTCGTACAAATCATTTTCATGTGCCCCTTAGATGGTGAAAAGTCTATCTAAAATAGGCCCTGGTTTGATTAATGATTAATTCAACTCTTTCATTAAAATTTCCTTCCTTCCTATCAAACTGATTTTGCTTTGACTTTTGTCTGTTGCAGGTAAGATACTGACTGCTCACAAGCACTCAATACAACCCTACTTTGAACCTTTCCTTTTAAAATAAAACAAAAAAATCTAGTTCCTGCACATGAAAWACACTTAGATACTTCCATGTGGCTCTATCACAACTGTTAGTATAAAGAGAAGTATTTATAGAAATTTTAACACTGACGCTTCCTACTATAAAACTCCTATTGACATTTACTTGCTAGTGTTTTTTTTATTATATACTTCCTGAGACATATTACCATAAAAAGAAAAAGAAAAACTGAGAAAAAAAATCTCTTCCTTAATTTATTACCATATGCCTCACATCTTGGCAGACCTCGACCACTTGTGTTTGTTGTGGTAAGACTGGAGCACTTGCTTGTGCTGCTGTGTGTTTTGATATTTCATCAGGGCCTGCTAAACAGTGAGGAGGGCTCTCTGCCGCCCACCTCTTCTCAGACAAATTACCTCCGAGATTGCAGAGGTGGGTCTGAGGCTGATGGATGGGTACACAAAGACCTGACGAGACCGTATTTGCAAACATTAAATCCATATTTCCATAATACCTTGCTGCTTTGCCATTTAATATTTTTTTTTCTTTTTCAGCTGCCAGTTAATAAAGTCCACACATCTTTGCTGGAGTTTTTTTGTTATTAAGGCTTGAACTGTGTTTCTAACACATTCCTTATTTTAATCTTAMTGTTGCTCTCATGTTTCCCCTCTTTTAACCTCTTTATCAGTAATTAATTTCACTCTGAGTCTCAACGTCTCCTCTTCAGAATCCCCACAGATTTGGGCATCCATTTATCAATTTCAGCTCTGTCATGTCGAACCACTACATTCATGTTGCACTCTGCCCTCCCTGACTCCTCTGAACCCGTGTTTCCATATGGATCTCAATATCCTCTCACTAATGTGCAATTTTCAGTACATCTCTCCTAACCTGGCCCTTTAACCATCACAACAGCCCCCCAACTCCTTTTTGTCTCGTATACGCTCACATCCCATCGTCTTCTTCCATTTTCCCCCATTTTCCTCCCTCTTTCTCTTCCCCTTTCCCTTCCCTGTTGGCTTTTGCCTGCATTTTGCTGTTAATTTGCCTGAGAATGCATTAGATGTAATGAAGGYTGAGGGCCGAGGGAATCCTCCAGGGTTCCATTAATCATCCCCCCTCAGACAGGCAACCTTGATTACAAGTGGCAAGAAATTCATTAGAGCCAGGCCTCTGACAACTCTTATCTCCGCCACTAGATCTGACTCATTAGGCAGCCAAATTAAAGCTATGATGGCCCTGATGAAACTCATCGCTTGTTTATCTTGTGCGATTTGATGCATCTGCCCATACATCACTGTAGCCACAGCCGCCCAGACCCTCCCAAGGAGTCAGGCCTCCAGTCGGCGCCGAGCTGCCTGCACGCTCACACAGCCGGACAGTAATGAGGTCCCTCACTTTCCTCTCCCTCTCGCTGCAGGTGGGAATGAGGACGTAGTTAAGCATCTTTACTGGAAAAGAACTTTTGATGTTTCAATTACGGGGATTCAGGCAACCAATTGAGGGGGGGTTAAAAGGGAAGAGTTGAACTCAGAGAATCGCTGGTAAACTTTGTTTTTTCCTCCCTAAGTATCTCAGAGAAACTTATAGACTCTCCCTTSACAGGATTTTTGTCCTCATCCTCACATCCACCGGTGCACGGGGGGACGACTAAAATAACTGCTGCCCTTTTGACATATTGTTGTGGAATTGATATTAGTCAGCTCCTGTGCCATAATAAAACTTCCCACTGCCCCTTTACATGATCATCACTCCTTGAATCCCCATCCAAGTGTCACAGTCTTGATGTATGAGGTGAACGGAGAAATAAACCTCACACCTCATGGGTGCCCGGGTCATGACAGGCCTGTTTGTGCTCTGAGGTCAAAACTGAGACCAAATAGATTTTAGGATGCCTGGATGGACTTTAGCTCTGGTTATAAAATTAATCATTAAAAAAAAACTTTATGTCCTTATAAGAAAATTTTTAAAAAAATATTTTTGCTCCATCGTTGGTGTTAAGCGGAGTCTGAAACAAAAACTGGAAATCTGAGATTTCTTTTGGAAGCAGGGAGACTGAGAAAACAAATGAAGCGAAGGGAAAATACTCCAACATTTCTGGAAGCGGTTCAGAGAAACTGAGAGTTTCGAAAACATTGAGTTTCTTGATCTTTCTTGCAGCAGGATGTGGTCAGATTTATTTTTAGCAACAGATTATTTTAWATTTTGCCTTGTTCACCGTATATCCTTATCCAATTTGACTGATCAACATATTCCATTTGCTAGTGTGAGGGATGCTGATGGKAAATCATAAAACTAAATTAACAACACATGCAGGAGGTAAAAATGTAGCAGAAAAAAGCCTTACTTAATATGTACTTTTTTCAATTAAGATAAAATCCAAATAAATCAAATATTTTTTTTGTCTTAACATTGAAACTTTTTTAAGAGTTTGTTAATTATCTGGATATTTA